AAGAAAGAATTAAAGTATGCTTTTTGTATATGTATATGTCCACCATAGCGACAGGATTTTTGATTTTTTTATTCCTCTAAGCATCTATTTTAACAAAGTAAAGGATTTGGTAAAAATCACAGAAAAACTAAGTAAAATAAATGAGCAGATTATGCTGCTTGATTTTATATCTTATTAAAATTTAGTGGAAGATGATTCGAACTTGCGTGATTTCTGTGACTATGTTTTGCAGTATAGAATAAAATATGCGAAGACATTCGGTCTTACTGCCTCTGTATCTTGATTTGTTGAAGTTGTAGCCTCTACTCCACTTCCTGATCTGGTTTCTTCGCCCGCCCCAGAAGTTGTATTAATAACCTCCCGAGACTTTTGTTTCTGTTGTTTCTTTTCTATCGTCTCCCAGCGATCGCACTGCCTACAGATGGCCCGTAGCATAAGATATACTGAAATAGCAGGTCCCAAAGGGCAATCGGCGATAGGTGAGAGCGAAGGAGATGACTTTGATGATGATGAAATATCCATTGGCTTCTCGATATTTTGGTGGTCGTGACATACTTTCTTATTATTTGCCTGAAGACAAGCAGCCTGGCTCAATTGCTGATGGATCAACCAGTCTAACATCGTATCAACGGTAGATGGTGCATAGGCAAGTTGGCAAGGTAGACGATCAGAAACGGCGGGCGCCACTCGGGTTCCAGAGGAGGAAGAGACGGCCGTAGAGGGAAGCTGAGATTTTTTGCCCATAAGCTTGCAAATATCGGAAGAGCAAGAGGTTAATTTTTTAGTTGATTGAGGAGCCAGACTGGTTGAGTTTCCATTGCTAGAAGTACCTCGTTGAACAGCCTTAGATACAGATATATCAAGAGATTCAGGAATTAAAGGTGGAGTATGCCTAGGTGTAAGAGAGGCGTTAGGTTGAAGCATTCCGATTTCACCGGTGTAAGAAGGAGATGGGGATTTGGCTAAAAAATATAAATGGACAAGATTTGAATGAAATTTAAGGTTTACCGAAGAATATGAATGAAGAAAAAAATTCAACTCATGGGATACTAAAGAAGGCAGCAAAAAATCTCAATAGGGTAATAAGCACTAGGAAATATGAATGTAAAGTGCTGATATTCCTGGAACCATGCATATAAATAAAGCTGTAAAGCAAACACACAATGAATTTTGCAGAGGCATATACCGATTTAAATGACTTCAGAAATATCAGCAGATCTCAAATCACAACTTTAATAACCTTAGGTCACATAGTGTAATAAACGGATAATCACTTGAATTTCACACAATCAAATGGGCAGTAGTACTCACGAAGCCAATTAATTTCACATAAGGCCTGTTCTTCAAGGCATTTTCACCTAGATTTACGTTCGCCTAGACAATCCTAATTTGCAGAAAGCTTGAACATTACTACTTTGGAAACTAACATACACTCAAAAAAGGGGTTCAAAGTATAAAAAAGGAGATACTTGTAATGATAAATGCATTAACTAAAAGGGCAATAAGCAGCGAAATGCGATGAAGTTTTAAGCACCATACTAATATGCACAATAACTACATGCATATTGATATACTTAAAGAAAATATGGAGTTAAATGGAAAATTGGAAAAAAAGCCCGATTAAGTAAAATAGTAGTTCTGCAAATAAAATAGGTCAAATAAACAAATTACGTAATGTCCAGAATACTGATTTCAATATCGCTTGCCCAATTAAATTTTAAATTACATATATGATCTAGAAAATAAAAAGCCAAAATTCGTGTTTTCAAAAAGTAAACTTGAGGCTGAATGCAATCATACCCCAGATCAATCAGATTCAAAGCAATAAGAGTAAATAAACAGAAACTGACAGTCGTAAATTTAATTAATATTAAAGTGATAGTAAAATTAACATAGAATCAATCTATCATAGTAAAGGCGTGCTAAGGAAATTGATTTCATTCGAAATAATTTAAAAAGGTGTCCATCAAGTCGTTATTAAAAAATGAAGCATTTCAGCTTGAATGAATTTCATATATTACCGAATTTTATGCTATTATAATTTCCTTAAAGGAATGGAATGAAATTCAATCATAGGTTTGTCTCGTTATAAATATAGCGATTATTCTAAGCTTGATAAATATGTGCAACCCGGGATTCAAGCGTGAGTTTGAAAATGCGCTCTCTACAGGCATTGTCAGGATGGGAATGAATTTTCAATGAAAACAACATAAATATGAAGTACCAACGAGCAGAATGTAGACCAAAGTTTTACCTGATTACAAAATTATAAAGTTGTATTGTTCTATTTTTAAACGAATATTCTGATTTAAGGAGCAAAGCTGAACTTTCTCATAAAAATAAGTATTCCTCCCGATTCCTTTAAGTTCACTTAGCATTATCTCCGAAAAGGTGTTTTCATACAGAGTGTATTGCAGCGTTGACTTCACCAGGGTCTGATCAGCACCCCCAAAACCGGGTGGTGCGCATCTTTCTATAAAATCAAGCGACATAGGATAGCTAAAGTTCTTAATCAAAAATCTATTGATGGTAGCAAAAAGGACTCACTAAGAGTGTAAAAATAGTACGCCACACACACAAAAAAGCTCATCAACTTAATCAGACGTGCCAGGCATTACCCAATCGGAGTGAAGGTTGCAATCAAAAAGAGGGATAGGAAGTCGTTAAACAATGATGGCTGAGGCCAGATGACATTCTATTTTAATCACTTTGAGCTATTAATACTGCTTTCACACATATAACTAAACATGACGGCACCTAAGCACATATGGTTCTAGATTTGCGCATTGCTCGAACGAGCCAAATCGCTTTACAATAGAGCATAATGCATAGATATATGGTATAAATGCAGCATTCAAGGATAAATAGGTGATTCTTCTTGAATAACGCTCTGAAGATGTCTGTCATGTGACGTATTTTGACACCTAAGTAGAAGATCGCCTCGTGGACAGCGCCAAAAAAATGCTCCAGTAAAGCCTACCGACAGCTGGCAAAGCTTAATCCTTTATCGCCTTGTATAATAATGAAGCTTCGAACCTCAAGCTTTCGCTCTAAATTGAAGTGAGCCCAATATAAAAGAAACAAATCATACTCTATTTACAGTTAGATGGACTGTTCTATGATCAAGCTTATCAAGTTTTCTTAAGTTTATGTAAGCTCCAGATTATTACAATAATGAACACTTGCTCTGAATCTGTCTATTATATGATAAATAAAAGTCTAGAACGTTAAAACCGCAAGCGAAGGTCAGCGTCTCGAGAAATATGACAACCTGAATGTTTCGGTAAAACTAAACGACGGCAAACCCAGATAAACCCATTATCGTCATCTGTGAGATCGACGAAATGTAGATCAAGTCAATATTAATAAATCAAGAAATTCACCGAAAGGACTTTCACTTTTTATACAGCCACATAAATCTGCGTTTGCCTTTTTGGAAAATTCGGAAAAGTATTTATTTCTTTGTAAGCTAATAATGACTGAGTTGCATTATGTGAGAATATGTGGCGTAAAGAGAATCAGTTAGGAGAATCTCGAAGAATTCTATATGGGCCTGCTGTGATCTAGCCATATTGAGTAGGTTAGGCTGAAACATTTGTCTGGTGAAAACGTCTGTCGCATAACGAGCTAAAGCTCAACAAGGATTCATCGTCGTCGCGGGATGGTGAGCCGAGGACTTATTTGGACATAATCTACAGTCTCAGCTTAAAGGCAATTCTTATTAGGATTACGATGAGGCCAATTTATTAGCTCCTTTCAATCGCCTCTTTAAACGAAATGGAAAGTGTTCCAACATCAATCTATTGAAGGATTCTTCAAAAACAAGTTTTCCTAAATATCTATTGAGCTTTCGTCTGATAAGTAACATAAAAAGCCATAAGTGAACAATTTTAGGCAAATAATGAGTCAGGAAAACGAATCGGCCAATGAATACCTGCCATCTTTAGAACTTACTTTCAAGGGATTACAAAGGCAAATGGCTAGTCCGTATATATGTCCGAGTGGGTACATGAGGATAACAACAATGTCAGTATGATAATACATTCAAATAATTTCATTAAACATCTATTGCAATAGATTAATGATAGTTTAACTGAGGTTGCATAGCAAAGTAGGTCACTCTGGATCTGTTGATAAGCTACAGGCTCGAGATCACATATCCTGAATGTAGATACCAATTAACAAGCAAGACCTTATTACTCAACTTAATGTCCTTGTTTAGGTGGTCCAACGCTTCATGCACACGACATTCTTAATTAACTTACCAGCACCATTATCTAAAAATAAACTCACCTAAACTGCTAATTTCCATAATCTTGGTAGCTCTTTTTGGGCTTAGAAACAGATAAACATAAATAAGCAGTCGATGGCTAATTTATCATATGTCCAGTTTCCGAAATGCGCTCAGCAATATCTGAGCATACAGCTTCCATGAGAGACAGGCCTATCAACATAAGGACGAGGGTATGAAAAAAAGCAATTTTAACAGTCTGGTAATGGGTTAGACTGCGGTCCACTCTAAGGAAAACGGTCTTTTAATATGCATGGCTAAATGAAACTAAAAGCAATAATCAAGAATTCGTTTTAATTAGTAGTGGGCGGCCTTGCCGCAAGCAGAAAAGTAAACCAGTCGAAACTGGCAGCCTCAATAATAATCCAACTTCTGATAGCTTAATAAGAAAAACTGTCACAAACTACCTAATAATAGGTTATCAGTACAAACTAGCATATATCTCCTTAACTCATATAAAAGTTGAGCTCACGTTTAGTAAGCTGTTTACGAACTTGTCTAGGCCACATTTTTATGTTTTTATACTATTATAATGTAAATATCTGCTATTTGCTTTTAGTGGAAGAGATTCTGATAAGGAGATAGATAAGTTTAAGGCTAATCCATCCGATGCACCATCCAAATCCCTCCTTCACACACTCCCAACAATGAATCCATGGGCAGACTGGCATTGTATAGCTTAGCAAAGGATTGCGAGGTAACCTTACTGGTGCGAAGCCCATTACATAAAGTTAAAGTAAAATAAATTCACTATAAGGTATCAATATTTCCAAAATATTAGTATAGGGGCCTCAGTGAACAGTCTTAGAAGGAAATCTAAGTGGCTGATAAGGTCTCTGACATTCCAATAAACAGCATGAGGGAAGTGAAAATTTCCAATAACTTAGGAAAAAGGGAACTATTACAACCCAATAGGAGTTAAGTCTTCAAGCGAGCACTCAGACACGATATAACCACCTTTACTAGATCCTAAAATCACCATAATCAAGAGCTGAGAATTAATGGCTTGAATTTTTCAGCAATGAATGAGGTCCGGTTGCACTATCAATGGCACTCAAAAGGTAATTAGATGGTTAGGGCCACCATAGGTTAGTCTGGTTAGCCAAATGATCCAAGCAAACCGGTTCAGATTCAGCAAGTTTACTAGTCCAAACTGATATTTTTTAATTGATTAAAAAGTTATATTATTAGATAGCCTAGTAAGTGAATCCTGGCCTTACCGGGCTCTGGAAACCAGAAGGTACATTCATACCAAGCGGCCCGGATTCAAGTCGAAAAACAGGACACCAACTTGAATAATGATTGTAATCACACTGGGTTGCATACATTGGTAAGATTAAATGTTGAAATAGCTTGAGATGATAAGAATAGATACTAAGAGAAAGTTGGTTTTGATGAATCTCCTGAGATAACATTGTTAGAAGGACTATCATTTCGAATGAAAGTACATGAAGAAGAGGTTCGTTGGCCGAACTCACCAGATGAGGACGGATGAAACTCGTTGTACTGCAGCCGTTTGGCTTTTATACGATATTCATAATGACGCAGTCCACGAGACTTCCTCCCGCGTTTCGGGTAAAAAAGTGATGAGCTTTCGTCCATCATAAGATGGACATCATCAGAGCCAGGTGTC